CATCTCAAGGATTTCCTGAAAGGTATCCAGTTCTCCCAGTCCTCAAGAGTTTCTAGAATCTACTCTTGAATGATGCCAGGCCTCTGGAGAGCCCCATATGTAAGGCTGACTTGTTTTGACTACCTATAGAAAGGCTTCTGCTTTATTGCACTTCGACCATATTCTAGCGTCCTGCACTGTGAAATATTAAAACAGCCCAGCAAACCTTGTGCTTACACTTATTGTGCAATGTTATTAAGGATGTTGTTCACCATATTGCACAATGTCCTCTTTATGAGGATCCTGGGGATATCATCTCTCTGGTGTCTTTGCCAGAAATAGCTATGATCCTTCCAAGGAATTAGTTTGTTTTTGCCTTAAAGACACAATGAACCATTTATGTTTTCTTCCTACATTGGCTTCTGGAAAGCCCGGATTGAAATCTGTGGATCACTATTAATAAATGTACTGGGTATCCTAGAATGCAATTAGGACCCTTGACATTGTTTCTGTATTTGTATTTGTCTAACCTCTGATTTGCACTTAAATTTCTTCACTTGCTCTCATACTATGTATACCTTTTAGATTAAGTTTATTCCTTCTTGAAATTAGGTGGGAATAAATAAGTCTGGCTGGGCTTGGCATTGGTAGGTGTGACAAAGGTGTGACAGTGCAAACACAGCCACAATTAGAGGTGCCAAGAGTCAGTTTCGATGGAAATACCAGACAGAGACAGCCTTGCCAGCTTGATATTCATCTCTGCCAGGACTGCAAAAGGTCACATTGTGTAGGCAGGTTGACCTTCAGCATTTCCTCTGGAGGGAATATGCTTCAAACCTTCTGAGTCTTCCTGAGAATATGGGCCTTGATTTACATTTGGACAACACAATTAGTGCATTTTCCAAAATTACCAGGTTTTATTATTTTAATATTCTTTTTTTAATATGATCCTGAGTGTGACTCTTTCACTCCTAAGAGCAGATTATCCAAGACTCACCTGAACTAAGCTTTTCAACTGTTGGCAGCTATGATGATGTATCTGTCAAGTCTAAGTCACCCTTCATGGCAAACTGTTTCCTCAACTGCCCTTTCACCAATGTAGAGACACCCACATGTTCCTCATAGTCTACTGTGCTATTTCACTCAGATGGTTAGAAATTCGAATTCTCCATCTTCTCACATACACACAGACACACACATGTGCATGCATACACAGACCACAGACTCACACACGTACTTATGCAACCAGCCCTCCCAGTTTAATGAAAAGGGAAAAAAAAAGCCCTGGCTTTCAGCTCAATGTGATAAATGGTAGAACCGGATAGAAGAATAAGGAAGGGGAAAATTGGAATGCACATTTTTGAGGTCTGCTGTTAAACCAGTTTTGCTAATTTCTTCAAGTGAAAATCCTCCTTTATGCTTTTGCCTTGTGTAATATATTTCTGAAAACTGTCGGCTGGGCGTGGTGGCTCATGCCTGTAATCCCAGCACTTTGGGAGGCCAAGGTGGGCGGATCACCTGAGATTGGGGGTTCAAGACCAGCCTGACCAATGCGGAGGTTTAGTAGAAACCCCCGTCTCTACCAGAAATACAAAATTAGCCAGGCGTGGCGGCGCATGCCTGTAATCCCAGCTACTTGGGAGCCTGAGGCAGAATTGCTTGAACCCGGGAGGTGGAGGTTGCAGTGAGCCAAGATCGCGCCATTGCATTCCAGCCTGGGCAACAAGAGTGAAACTCCATCTCAAAAAAAGAAAAAAAGAAAGAAAAGAAAAGAAAGAAAGAAAACGGTCTTATTTCCTCCATTGGAAGAGAATTTCTTCCTAAATTATGTTATTAATGTACAACAAGCCAGTGTTAGTGTGTCACTGTGGCAGATTGAGACCCCACCCCCCCGGAGCCTAGGGACTGCAGTCGGAGAGTCCCAGTGTGCAGAGCGGTCAGGTTATGGTGGTCATTACTCTCTGGATGCCCCACTGTTTACAGTCCAGTACGCATCTCCATACATCTTCACCAGAGGGAAGAAACGTTTTATATCGTAGAATGAGTTAAGAGACCCTTGACATGTTTAAAAAAAAAAAAAAAAAAAAAGAATGCTTTCAGCCAAGAGCCAAAGCGAGGAGGTCTGGCAGAAAGACAAATGGAGTCCAAAGATTTGGGATCAGGCTTTAACTGTCTCCCTTTTTATGTATGCAGCCTGCTTGGCTTTTCCCTTTCCTGACCTGGACTCCTATTTCATAGACTGCTATCCTAATAGCTCTGAATGTGCATTATGATTTGAAGGTTGTAGTTTTCCATCTCTGGCATATTATGGTCATCTTACTCCTGCGTTCTATATGGAGGTTTGGTCTAAACATAGCCTTTCTTTCTCTGCCACCATATGTAAGGTAATACAATATACTGCTGTGGAGTTCCTCAACTGGTACCTCTTCAGACAGAGATCTGGAGAAGAACTGTTTTATTTGTCCATTCAATCATTGCATCAACAACTTTGTTAGCACCTACTAATTACCAGACACTGTGAATAATGATATGAGATCCCAGAAAAAGTGAATAATGAATAGGGGTGGGAGTGGGTGAAGTGAAATGTTTTGTGTTTCAATTAAGTCTCCAAAGACATGTAGAAAGATTCAAAGACATTCTTTTGGCCATGACTGAATAACCAGTACTGAAATATTCTTACTATCATAAACAATTATAAAACTGAAAAATTACATTAACCAATACTTTGCAGATATTGGACAACAGGCAGTTCAGGGCCCTTATCATTGAGAGAAAGGAAATACACAAAATGAGCTTCATAACTGCCTCCACTTTCTTTCTAGAGGTGCTTTCTTGTTCACAGTATAGGAAGCTGGAGCCCAGACAAAGCACTGTGGTCTTATTGAACTAGGGGGATAGAATCTGAGTCCTGGGCTACTGAAGTATCTGGACTTTGTAGGTCAGAGTACCAGACAGGAGTGAATTGCAAAGAGGAGCTGCAGAAATCTGCATGGAGATCCCCTTTCATGATTAGATGGATATTAACCTGCTCTTGTGTAGGCATAGCCTGACAGAGAATGGTAACTGGAATGATGTGATATAAACAAAGATTATGTAGGCTATGCAGTGCTGAGAAATGTAGAGGCTCCAAATAGCCAGTGAGGACACCTTGTTGAACATCTTGGGCATTCAGTTGAGACCCCCAAAAGACCAGGCTTTAGGAGTAGAGATATTATCACCCTAGAACAAAGACTACTCTGGACCTTCCCAGCCAAAGATTTAAAATAAGCTTTAGAAGGATCAAGCTGATAACCTGATGGGCAAATAAATTAACTGCCTGACAGAACATGACTCTTAAAAAGGAAGACAAAAAGTTCACACTGCCAGGACTATAACATCAGTGATATCTAGCATATAACAAGAGTTTCTAGATATGCAGAGAAGCAGGAAAAAGTGACTCATAACCAGGAAAATGAAACTATAAATAGAAACACACTCAAAGATTTTAGAGTTAATAGAAAAAAAAGTTTCCACCAGGTAATCCTATGTTTAGGATTTCAAAGGAAAAATGATCATAATGAATGAACATATGGAGAATATTAATAGAGAGGAAAAGTACACCAAAAACTTAAAATTCTAGAACTGAAAAAAATACAATGTCTGAAATAAAAAATTCAGTAAATGGGCTTAACAACAGCAACAGAAAAGATCAATGAACTCAAGGCTATAGAGACTATCCAATCTGATGCAAATAATGAAAAGACTAAAGAAAACTATAGAGACCCAATATCTTGTGAAACAATATCAAGTATTCTAACATATGTGTAATTCGATTCCTAAATGGAGAAGTGTGAAATAGGGGTGGAAAAGCAACTGAAGACATATTATCCAAATTTTTTTACTTGATGAAAAATATCAATCCATAGATCCCAGGATCTCAATACATCTCAAGCAAGATAAACACAAAGAAAGCCAAACCTAAATGTGTAATAATCAAATTTCTGAAACTTAAAAAGAAAAATTATAAGCGCATGTGAGATTTGTAATCATCATCTTACCAAGAGCATGAGAGAGTTTAAAAACAAACTCTACATTATATAGAGAGAACCAACAGTGTGAATTTTCTCTGACTTATCAAAAGAAATAATGCAAGCCAGAAAACAATGGAATAATTTTTTTAAGTGCATAAAGAAAAAACAAAAACAAAAACTATCAACTCATAATTCTACATCTAGGAAAAATATTCTTCAAGAATAAAGACAAAATTAAAATATTTTCAGATTTTAAAAAGCTGAGATAATCACCAACTGACATGCGCTATAAGAAACATTAAAAGGTGTTCTTCACGCTAAAAAACAGTATTAGATGAAGAATCGATTCTACACAAAAGAATGAAGATTGTGAGAAATGGCAAATATGTGAGCAAAGATAATTTTCTTTTTAAAATCTTTCAGAATTGATTAAGCAAAAAATGATAAGAATGTATCATTGGGTTTAAATTACATGTCGAAGTAAAATGTTTGACAACAATAATGCAAATAACATGAGAGGATAAATATTCCATTGTAATGTCTTACATCATTGGAGGACTCATGAAATTGATTCATAGTAGATTGTGATAAGATAAAACACACATTATAACCCTTAGAGAAACTGCAAAAATAAAAGAGGTATGGCTAAAAAGCTGACTGAGAATAAAAAATAAAATACCCAAAGTGGCTCAATTAAAAAATAATGACCGGGCCAGGTGCGGTGGCTCACACCTGTAATCCCAGCACTTCGGGAGGCCAAGGCGGGTGGATCATGAGGTCAGGAGTTCAAGACCAGCCTGGCCAATAGGGTGAAACCCCATTTCTACTAAAAATATGAAAAATTAGCCAGATTGGTGGTAGGCGCCTGTAATCCCAGCTACTCAGGAGGCTGAGGCAGGAGAATGGCTTGAACCTGGGAAGCAGAGGTTGCTGTGAGCCGAGATCTCACCATTGCACTCCAGCCTGGGTGACAGAGCGAGACTCCATCTCAAAAAAAAAAAAAAAAAAAAGACTGGAAAGAATACAAATTTTAAAAGTTGGAAAAATAAAAACAAATAGGAAAATAGTAGACTTTCACAACAAAAGAGAGGCGTTTTATAAATTTTTCTAGCAGATATGACATAGGACATATTATTTTAATGCAAAGCAGATGAAGAACTACCCTACTAGTCTAAACTACGCCCGTTAACCTTTAATCATTTGAATCCCTTAATCCTCTAATCATTGGATCATTAACATTCAAATATCCTGGAAGACTGGCTTATCTGTATTTTAAGAGGAAGCCGGTCCTATATTTTACGTCGGTTCTTTGACCATTCATTGGAGCTCTGGTTTTCAGCCTCTTTCCGGGCTACCTTGTAGCAATTTGAGGGTCAGTCATCAGTTTCTGCTTGGTTTCAAAGATCCAGGAGAAGCTTAGTGTTGTTCAAGACGCAGATGGACCCATCACAGCAGTTTAATCCATCCTCCATCCCGGAGTCTTCACAAATGCTGACTGAAGAAAATTCTCGGGACGATTCAGGGGCCTCTGAAATCTGCTCTGAGATGTTGATACAGAACCTTAGTAACTTGACTATCAACGCTAGTAACGAATCCCGTTCCCCTCTACCAGAAGATTCACTCCATCGAGCAAGAGCAACAATCCTCAGGGAAACCAGAGATGACTTGCTTTACAGGAGGGGAGGAGTAAGAACATTGCTGTCTGTGCAGAAAGAAAGGATAGCAAGATTCAGATACATGTTACTCGGCAGAGTTCGTACGCATGAAGGAATACTGACAAACACTGGGCTTAAGGGAGTTAGGAAGGAATCAAGACCATTCAAATGCCCCTGCAGTTTCTGCGTGTCCAATGGATGGGATCCTTCTGAGAATGCTAGAATAGGGAATGATGACACCAAGCCACTTCAGCCATAAAACTTATTCTTGCACCTTTTTCTTCTTGCTGGTAATTTTATATAGCAGGCTGTGAAAGCTACGCTGTGCTAGTATAGACTATACACGAATAATATTAATGAGTTCTAGGATGTGTTTTTCTTCATGTATCTTTTTCTTCCTACTATGATACTAGTAATTTGTAAGGGATCTGTGTAATTTAAATGTATTTGAATAACTTTAGCTCTACTGTTTGATTTGACCCAAAGACGATATAAGTATTCCCATGTGTCTTAGAAGCCCAAAGTCAGTGAGATGAAACCCAACATCAAGAAACTGAAGCAAAGTTACTTGTGGATAAAGAAAGCATTAGGTAGTTTGGCTATAGCATAATAACTAGATTTTCTGGCTTTCAAAAATTTGGATTGCAATCACAGCAAACTTATTTTTACAGTTTTCAGTACAAAAAGGTGTTTATATAGAAACAATAAAGTTGACATTTGAGTACCTTTAAAAAAAAAAAAGAAAATAGTAGACTTTCACTCAGTCATATAAATAACCACATTACATGTAAATGGATTAATCGCTATAATTAAAAATTGGAGATCATCAGACTAGATAAAAAAGCAAGTCCTAACTACATGCTGTTTACAAGAGATGTTTTAACTATAAAGATCTGGAGAGTCTTAGGAACACTTACACCTATTTTGCTTTGTGCTATTTAAAAATAAAAAGATAGAAAATTATATTCCTTACAAACACTAACTATAGGAAACCTGAATTAGCTTTATTAATATCAGACTTCAAGATGAAGTGTATCACCACATTAAAGAGGGATATTTCATAATAATCGAAGAGTTAATTCATCAAGAAGACATAACAGTCCTAAATGTGCACATACCTAGTAATAGAACTACAAGAAGCAAAAACTAACTGAATTAAAAGTAAAAACAGAAAAATCTACAACTATCGTTGAACACATCAACACTATACCTTCAGTAAATGATAGAAAATGCACACAAAAATATTAGCATCTAGAATGTTTGAATGATACTGTCAATCATTTGAAACTAATTGACATTTATGGAACACTTCACGTAGCAACAGCAGAATACAGATATTTTCAAGAGTACTTGAAACATTCACCTAAATAGGCCATCTGCTAAGCCATCAAATAACACTCAATAAATTTCAAGAGATGGAAATAATAAGTGTTCATTCTCCAGTAACACTGGAATTAAACTTGAAACTTACAAAAATTTGCATCATAAAAATTCTCCAATATTTGGAAAATAAGCAACACGCTTCTAAACTCATGAGTCAAAAAAGAAATAACTAAGTTAATCACAAAATAACTGAACTGAATGAAAACAAAACACAGCATATAAAAAACGCGTGGGATGTAACTGAAGCAATGTATAGAGAGAAATGTACAGCTGTAAACGTTTATATTAGCAAAGAAGAAAGGTTTAAAATCGAGATGTGAGCCAAAGTTTGGCAAACTAGGGTTCATGAGCTTACAATGGCTTTTACATTCTTAAAAGGAAGAGGGGAAGGGGAAGAGAAAGAGAAGCAGGAGGAGGAAGAGAGGCAGCTGCAACGGAGACCATATGTGGCCCATAAAGCTTAAAATATTTACTCTCTGGCCCTTTACAGAAAAAAGTTAGTGACCCCTGACATAAGTTTTCACCTCGTACTAGAAAAAACTGATGATGGTAAATCCAAAGCAAGTAAAAGGAAGAAAATTTTAAAGATAAGAGTTGGATGTCTGTGGTTTCTCTAGAAAATAGAGAAACAATAGAGGAAAATTCATGAAACTAAATGATGCTTCTTTGGAAAAATCAAGGATGCCAACTTTCACCACTTCTACTCAGCAGCATACAGGAGATCGTAGCCTGTGCAATAAGGTGCCAAGAAAGATAATAAAGTCAAAAAGATTTTTTAAACTTCTAGAAATTGTTGCCTACATTCACCATCTCTGCTTCTTTCCCTCCCGTTATTTCTTGAATTCACTCTCATGAGACTACCCCTCCCCCACCATTCCCCCACAACCTGTCTTGCAAAGATCACCATACACCTCCATACTGCCAAATCTAGCAGTTAATTCTTCATGTAATTTGACCTGTAAGCAACATTTGATGGAACTGATGTTCCCTCTTCCTTTAAACTCTTTTTTCACTTGTCTTTTGGGACTTCCTGGTTTTCTTTCTAACTCACTTGCCATTTCTGTTCTATCACTTTATTGGGATCTCTTCACCTGTCCAACCTTTAAATGTTGGAATGCTTAGAGTTTACTTCTCAGACCTCTTCTCCATGCTCTCTGTACACTTTCTTGCTAGCATATAGGTGATTTGAAATAGCCCCTACATGCTAATAATTCTCCTAGATTTTATAAATCTCTAGCCAGGACTTGTCCCCTGAGCTCCAGATTCCTTAATTCAGCTGCCTCCCTGACATCTCCATTTTGATATATTAGGCACTTAAAACTTAACATATGTAAACGTAAATCCCTGATCTTCCCTTCACTCCTACCCAAAGGCTGGTCCTCCTGCAATCTTCCTCTCCTCTGTAAATAGTAATTTCATTCTTTATCCTGCTCAGGACAGAAACCTGAGCATCATTCTTTTCTCACCTTTTCAATATCCCATGTCTAAATTCGTCAACAAATCTCATCAGACTGCTTTCAGATATATCCAGAATCTAATCATTTCTCACCACTTCCTCCAACCACCCAGGACCAAGTCATCATTCTCTCCCATCTGGGTTAACTAACAGCTTCACAACTGATGCCCTGGCTCCCACTCTTGTTCCCTTGACAGTCCTTTCTCTGGGCAGCAAGCCAGAGTCGTCCTCCTAAGACATAAGTCAGACTACATTTCTTTTAAGCTAAAGCCATCCAACTATTCCTCTAACTCATTCTAAGTAGGATCTGCCCCTAGCTATCTCTCTGCTTCATTTACTGCTTTCCCACTTGTGCCCTCTACTATAGACTTTCTTGCTACTCTGGAACATATAATAAGTGTGTTCCCACCCCAAGGCCTTGGATATGATCTTCTGTCTGCCTGTGAAACCCTTCTCTCAGTTATCTGCGCTGAGTTCCCCCTGACCTCCTTCAGCTCTCTACTCAGACATCCCAGGGAGGCCTTCTCTGACCCCCTATTTAAAATAGTTATTCCCACCCTGTCATTCCAGTCCTTTTTTTGCTTTATTATTTTTTTGCCTGTCTTCTTTAACTTAAACTGATAAGCTATACAAGGACAGGGATTTTATATATTGTTTTCATTGCTGTATTCACAGTGCATTGGGTACACTCAATATTTGGTGAATAAATTATTCACTAACTCATCAATTTATTTGTTTGTGTGTTTACTGAATTTCTACCTGCCAGGCATTGCCCTTAGGGAGCTCACACTAGTAAAAATAATAGGAACAACTACCATTTTTTTTGTGGTGACTAATCACTTTGCATATGCCATTTGATTTCATCTTTACAATAGCCTATTTTACAGATGAGGAAACAAGCTTGCACCAGTTAAATAAATGGACTAAAGTCAAGTAGCTAGTATGTACTGCCGTTTTCAAAACCTGTTTGTCGACTACTGCCTCCCACTGAAATGATGTTCTTCTGTGTTGACATTTAGCTCATAGCTCCATAAACATTTTTAAATGGTTTAAATATATTTTCTACAAAGACTCAGAATGAATGTGCGTGAATAAGAGAGTTCATGATTATGAGAATTATGACTTCTTTGGGGGACTTATTTGAGAATAAACAAATTTCCTGATTCCTCGACTCCCTTCAGCCTCTTCCCCTCTGATGAAGCCATGGGGAAATCCATTGAAGCGAACATTCTAGCATGCCTTCTCATCAAACTTCCTTCATGTTTGTGCTCGGCCAGGAACCTACTGCCAGCAGAGGGAGGTGGAAGCCATCATGGAGGGCGATGAGGAGGACAGAGGCTGCTGCTGCTGCAAACCAGGCCACTTGCCACACCTGCTGTCCTGCAATGCTGCCTTTCACCTCCGCTGGCTCACCTGGGAAATCACGCGGACCCAGTACATCCTGGAGGGCTACAGCATCCTGGACAACAACGCGGCCACCATGCTGCAGGTGTTTGACCTCCGAAGGATCCTCATCCGCTACTACATCAAGGTATTGCTCTGTTTCCCAAACACCTGTCTAAGGCAGAAATGCTAAGATGGCACAGGAAGCTCCGAAAGAGCTCTGTCGAAAACTAAATTTTGAGCCTCTCATCCTCAGCTTCCGAATCGGAAGTCCAGCCATCTGGGGAACTGTCACTTTTGGAAAAGTCCTAGAGGGCTTTGCCTTAACCTGAGATTTGTGCCCTGGTCATATCCTAAGCTTAGGCACCAATAGGCAGTTCGTTTTCTTATCTAGGTTTTCTTTGTCTCTTCTACCACAGCATGGTTTGCTTGTCCTGATGATGAGGACAAATTTAATATCCTAGAACTATTACTAAGCCTCCATGTTTGAGTTATAAGGGTCAGATTAGATGCTCTGCACAGTGTCCACTTTAGAACCAGAATTATATTTTAAGTTCGTAAGGAGAACTCAAAAAGTAGCTAAACCATCCAGTCAGAATTGGCTGTGACAGCCTTTCCTCCTAACTCACATGGAGAATAATAACATGTTTTTTCAGTTGCTCAGTGCCTACCTCTGCCCAATCTGTATTCAACCTCAGAAATCATGGCAGTTTGGAGTAAGTCTCCTGGAAAACAAGTGTGGGACCTGCCTGAGGATGTGTAGTGTTCATCGGGGCTGAGGTGTTTTCTGAAGGGGAAGGGGCAGGTGAGGGCCATGTGGCGGAGGAGATCTTCGCTGTGGGTCCTGTGCTGGAGGTTTGGGGGGACTTGGTGTGGTGGAAGTCCTGGATGACCCACAGGTATGCGTCACATCTTAATGCTATTCAAAAAGAGGAAGCTCATCCATTGGAGACCACAGAGGCCCCTGCCAGCGTGCTGAGACAGGTGGTCCAGCAGAAATGAGGAAACACAGAATGAAAAGATAACATGGCACCTAAAGTTTTAACCAGCTAACAAACAAAGGGCATTGAGAAATTTGGAATAAATTCAGGCATGGTAGCTCACGCCTGTAATCCCAGAGCTTTGGGAGGCCAAGGCAGCAGCAGGATTGTTTGAGCCCAGGAGTCCAAGACCAGCCTAGGCAACATAACAAGACCCCATCTCTACAAAAAAAAAAAAAAAGAAAAATTAGCTAGATATGGGGTGCACACCTGTAGTCCCAGCTTCTCAGGAGGCCGAGGCAGGAGAATTGCCTGAGTCTAGGAGTTTGAGGCTGCAGTGGGCCGTGCTTGCACCCCTGCACTCCAGCCTGGGTAATGAGGATTCTCGAAATCCACAATAGCTGCTGAAGCTACGTGGAAACAGAAGATAGTCAGGGGGTAAATAACTCTTAGATCTCATCCCCCTAGGTGATTGCTACACAAAATGTTTGCAAAACCCTTTTCTGTGGCAGCATATTTACAACAGATTTAGCCGTTTGTGCTTGCCATCTTTGTGTGTGCTAGAGATGCAAATCATTATATTCAAATTTCATACAAAACTACACTTGTTTTGTCCAACCTAGTGTAAATGGGGGAAGATTTGGGAAGCATACCAGGGAGTTATGGCCTATCTTCTATTTCTAAACTCTAGGCAAACTCAATATACCAGTTGTGTTAGGTTGGGCAGTGAGCCATGAAATAAGAGTGGCATGCATGTTAGAAGCTTATTTCTCTTGGACTTTGATGATGGTTGACCACCAACCATCTTCCAAAATTTGAGTTCCACAATTTAAGTTACAGGCTTAAAGGGATAGAGGAAAGGACACAGAAAATGAAGACCAAGGGCACGCACCAGCTGTCTGGTAAAGAGGTTCTAGGAAGCGGCCACAGCATCCTCCCCACTCTATCCCGTC